TCCATGTTCCTGGGAGCAGGGGGAATACACGTTCCAACCTGTGATTCTCAGAGACTGAATGAAGCTAAAGAGCTTCTCAGACAGAGTCAGGAAGCTCGGTGGTCACACCTGGGAGGACCTGGCTCTGGTATCCTCTACGCCGACTCTCGGGGCTCAGGAGCCCTCCTCTGTCTCTCGTCTCAGTGCAACACCCTCATCTGAAAAGTTCATTTGAAGCTTGGGTGCAGCTTCCCATGGCCTTGACAAGGGCAGGAAGCCACTTGCGGCTGGCTCACTTAAGGATGCAAGAAAAATCCATGTGGCTGCCCATGAGCCAGGGGCCTGGTCATGGGTCTCTAAATGCCTGTAGGAATTCTGACAGATCATGGAGGATCTTTTCTTGATCTGGCCAAGGAGGTATCTGTCACCGCAGCCTTTGAGGAAGGCCTGCTCTAACTGGCAGGGGACTCCAGCACGAGGCAGCCTCTTTGAAGGATGCTAGAAGCAGCAGTTACCCAGCTCTTCACTCTTCCTACAGCCCCAGGGGTTGTGAGGGCTGGGAGTTGTGGTTAAGTCAGTTCCTGGAGCTGCGCTGACACAAACATGCTCATGAAAATCAAGACGAGGCTTCAGATTTGGGAGCAGATGCCACAGTCTTCTGTTTCTCACTAATAACACGATAGGCCCTTTGGTTCAGGACTCCACCCATTCAGTGCAGGGCACTGAGCACCCCGTCACTACGATTTAAATGGCGTTTAGCTACGACTACCCTCTCCCCCATCTGAGTCAGTGTGACAACCTGCAACCCAGGGGTACAGCCAGATGTCCCTTGAGAATCAGTGCTGGACTGGAAATCGCTGTTCCAATCTTACTCCTTCCTTACTTTAGAGATAGGACTCCTGGCTATCAGCTAAATGACTGATGCCTAGTTAGAGTCCACCTTTGCCCGCCCTTCACAACTTTGTGTGGTTATCTTTTTGCCACTGGGATGTGACCAAAGAGATGTGTGTTCTTTGAGTAATGCTCCTAACAAAGGAATAAGTGTGGCTTTTTCTTTCTTCTTACAAAAATCACAGTAAACAACTGGGCCAGAGACAGAAGCCACATGGTACAGACCACAGAGCCACCGCTGGCCTCTGGATTGCTCTTTGGGAAAATAAATCGCTTATTTAAGCCACTGTATTTTGGAATCTCTTTGTTACAGCCACATTGCTTCTATCCAAATTAATATAACTCCTTATTCTAATTTCCCAAGAAAAAGAGGGAAGCCCTGAGCTGAGGCTATCACGATGCCACACACAGGGCCTGGAACTCATCAGAGCCTCCCTGGTGAGCGGGGGCTCATGTCTGTTTCCTGTGCAGTTCACACAGGCACACGGCTCCCTATGTCTCCATAAGGGAAAACACTTTCCACACTTTTTCAGTCCATCTAGAGAGGACAATCAATTATGACCGTCCGACCAAGAAAGACAGCATGAGAATGTCATTTCACAGCTGGCCATCAGGAGGGTGTCTGCGGACACTGGCTGCTGCTGATGACAACTCCTGGAGGCCCTGGCTGCTGCAATGTGGACGCCAACACCAGTGTAGGGGCCGACTAGACACTGGCCTGGAAGTCGCTCTGCTCTTCCTGGAAAGAGGAGAGCCCACCTCAACCCCAGCTGTGGGTAGACCCCTCCTCACTCTCCGAGACAAACGGGTGGCGTGCTGCTGCCTCTCCCCAGGCTGCAGCTATTCAAGAGGCCAGGAAGGAATCAACGTGGGTTCCCTCTAGGGGAGAACCCTGACATCCACAAAGCCTCGAATCTACAGAAAGGTTCTCAGTGGGGAGACAGGAAAGAATGGCGTTCTGGCTGATTACAACAGGAGGGACCCAGGCTGGCCTGGTGCTGAGGGACAGCAGGGAGGCTCTGCTCAGCAGCAGTGAGGAGGATGCCCAAGGTGAAGAGGAAGGGGAGGAATGGAGGAAGTCAGGAATAGGACCTGCCCAAGGTGAAGAGAGCACCCCTCCATTTTTGGAGGAAGCTGTCCCAGAAGTGGAGCACGGTCACCTACTGGTCTCTCCCTAACCTGAGCTGGCTTGGTCTTGGGAGGCAGGTTTAAGCCCAGGAGAAGCTAAGAGCTATGAAGACAGAAAAGGCGAATTTGGAGCTTCAAGAGCAGGACTCGTGACATGGCCTGGGATCACAGAAGGGTGGGGGCTGTGACTGAGCAGCAGGGGCGAGGACAGTGCCTGTAGGAAGCTCAGAGCTTTCAGAAGCCCTGCACAGAGTGGTGCAGGTCCCTAACACCACAGCCCAGAGTCTGCACTTTCATCTTGCAGAGACATAATCAGCAATTGGACAGAACTCTGGCAGAGCAATCAGCTCATGAATTAGTTATCCAATATCAACTGTGGCCAAGGTCTTTGGGGTGCTGATCCCCAAAGGAACAAAGGTCCCCTGGGGGGGGGTCCCTCCCCCCAGGAACTCTGGAACAAAAAGTGTAGGCCACTTGCTTTAATTTACCTTAGGGATTTTAGCCAGTCTGTCCCCGCATCCCTCTCCATGCCCTCCTGTCATGCTCTCACAACAGGCCCTGCTCCCCCATCACGTTGGACCAGGTGCAGGCTCCTCCCACATCTCCTCCCTCTGACCCCTCCCCCTCCCCCAGCCTGCTCCCACCAGGCTCTCCCTCACACACTGCAGGCACGCAGCTCTCCTACCCGGGTCTTGAACATGATTTGCCTGGCTGATCCCGCCTCAGCACGTTGACATTTGCTGATGCCTCTCTGCCTAGAACCCTCTTGCTTTTTATATCCACGTGGCCGGCTCCCTCACTTTCTTCAGATATCTGTTCAACTTCAGCTTATGATTAAGGAATTCCTCCTCACATGCTTGCTCCCTGGGCCGCCCCTGGAATGCTCTGAACTCTTTCCTAGCACTCATCACCATCAGATGTGACATATGAGCTTGGACGCTTAAGGTCATAAACTCATCCTAGAAAAAAGTGCCACATACCTCATTGCTGAATATCACTACTGTCACCTTCAAAGTAGCCCCCTGGGAAGCTGTACCTTCAGAGTACTTTGTCTAGGATGAGTTTGCGAATTTAATTGTCAGACCTCTTGTGACAATAGCTCTAATAGGCATTCTAGAAAAACAGTTCCAAAATTGCTTTGAAAAGTAGACTAGGCACTGAAGTCAATGCACAGCTTCCCCAGGGGAGGACTTAGGTGGCTGTAGTGATATTCAGCTATGAGATATGTAGCACTTTTTCAAGGCTGAGTTCCCCAACTTAATTGTCGTATCTCTTATGCGCTTGCTTATTGTCAAAATCCCTGCATTAGAAAGGGGAGGAACTTCTATTTTGCTATTTTCCTGGTTGAATTAATGAAGAATCTGCAACCTAAAATCTAAAGAAAAACAAATGATGATCAAAATCTCTAGTAAGCTGTCACTACGTCTATGTTGCAAGAAATAATAATTCTACCTTTTTATTTTAAATTATTATTTTTTATTCTTTTAAAGTATTATGGGATACAGATGTTTTTGGTTACATGGATCACTTTTTACTATGTCTTACTCGGGCTGTAACGTGCCCATCACCCTGACAGTGTTCACTGCATCTGTCAGGTGGGTGCTCACCCATCCCCCGTCTGCTTAATTCTACCTTGAAACTGTTGATTCAACAAGTATCTCTTGTCCATCACATCCATTCAGCTGCCAACTTCTATAGGTTCTCACCTGAAATTCCTTCCTTTCTTCCTTCCTTCAGTCAACCAGGAAATGTCTATTAAATACAGGCAGTCCCTGAGTTACAAACATCCACTTACATACATCTCACACTCATGAACAGAGGCTGTTACAGTAAGTCCCTGAGTTACAGTCAGCCGACTGATGTATGACTCACACTTATAAACAGAAACTACTACAGGTATTAGGTGAATGTATTGGTTCTAACTTAAATACAAGTTCAACTTAAGAACAAGCCTACACAACCTATCCCGTTCGTAAGCCGGGACTGCCTGTACTTACCAGGTACCAGGGACTGTCTGGCTAGTTGTTCTCATCTGACTATTCCTGCAGCTGCTGTCTCCCCCCGCCTGGCTGAACGTGAACACTTTCTAACACCACCACTGCCTCCTTTTCCTTTCCTTCAGTTCATCCTGCTAGACGCTACCTGATGAACTTCACTTTTTTCCCTGGTCAAAGTTCTGCAGTGACTCAGCCTTATTGAATTAAATAGAGATTACTTATCCCAGCTTTGATGATCCTCCATAAACTCTCAATCAACCTGTGAGCTCCATCTGTTACTATTTTCAGAAAATATGCTTCAGCTAAACTGGCCTACTCATTATTTTTTGAATGTACCTCCCATGCTGTTCTCATCTCTGAAAAGAACACAAATTCTATCTGCCTCAATTCTATCTTCCAGGGGCACCCTCAACGCCACCTCTGTGCACTCTCCCACTGCGTGTAGACCCTCCCACTTTTTAACTCCTATGACATCACGTTTCTGTCTTTCTCGAAACACCTGCCATATTTTTCCCTGAGTTATGGTTGTGTGCAGAGGTTTCTTATCTCACCTAATAAAACAATCTGGAGGGTGAGGCTTGTACCTCATTCATATTTGTTTCCTGAGCAGCAGCTAAACCAGAACCTTACTCAGTCTGTGTGCTCACTTACTATTCGGTGAATGGAATATTTAATCCCAGTGCATTGCACGGCACCATGTGCTCAAGGGAGCAGAGAAGAAAAACAGGATGTGGTGTTTGCCCTAAAGGAACTGACAACCTACTTATGGAGATAAAATTGCTTACATAAAATGTAATTTTATATTCACTTTTTAGCAAGTTATGATTAAGCACCTACTGTGTGCTAAGTATACCCAAGATAATGTATGATGGCCAAAGTTAGTGAGGCAGAAAATAAATATGAATGAAGGTAGATCCGAGGTGTACAAGCACACAAGATGTGGCTGCCCCCAATGCTCACAGAGCCCCAGCTTTGGGTGGCTGAAGCAAGAGAGGACAGACTTACCTGGTGAGGCCACATGCTCCAGGTGGCCCAGCTGGGGCTGTCTGGTGATTCTGTAGACCAACTCTGCAGGTGCACTGTCTCGGTCAGCGGCAGAGAGCTGCAGAGTGGTGATCTTCTTCACTGAGTTTTCATCCAACACCAGCCCTTTATTGGTGATGATGACTGGTGGGGATGTATCTTCTGAAAACATCAGAAATAGTAATTTGAAATGGGATCTTTTACAACTCTTTTCTTTAATTTTAGGGCCTATGGTCTAAGGGGTAAGATCAAAGTAATCCTCAGGCCTGTCTGTGGGAGAGCACACCAAGGGGCCGGAGCTTCCTGCAACCACAGGGTGTGATTTTCAGTTTATACCCCAGCTGCGAGAAGGAGAGGGCTCAGGACTCCAGTGAGCACAATGCAAACTGCACAACCTCAGGACTGCTGAAGGATTTTCATGTTAGAAAACCTTACCTAAAACGTGGATGGAGAAGGACTGGTCAATCAATCTGTTGCCTTCTCCGTCAACCACATCAAATTTAAAAGAAAAACTCCCACCAGGTTCTCCTGTTCTATGGCTGTATTCTACCTGCCCTATAAAAAGGGGGAAAGAAAAAACAAATCAAGATCTGCTGTTACTGCTTTCCATCCTTATTTCTGACGTGAGAAGTGTGAATTCAATTGGTATTCACACCAATGAACTAATTACACCTTCCTCACTCACTTTGACACTGCTCTTGACATTTTAATCTAAAGTGTTCATTTTCCTCCCTTTCCTCTCCCACCACCTACTTCCTCATAACCAAAAACCCTCTCATAACAAAATCACCCCAAGAGACATTGCTGATGGTTAGGGCTGAGCCTTTGTGAAAGATCAGCTCAGCCTCCAAGGTGGGCTCATAAAAACTAGGTCAGCAAAATTGCCTGCATGTGAAATGGGTGCTGACCACAACCTATCACATGTCCGTGTCCCAAGGGCAAGAGGACGAAGAGCTGTGGCCCACATTCTGCCAGAGGGCTTCCCTCCTCATTGCCCAGTACAGGGTACCACATGGGCTGTAAACAACAGACAAATAAATAAACAAGGAGATAAACTCCATGTACCAGCCGACGGCAGCTATGGAGAGAAGGACAATGTATGACATTTTTTTATTAATGCACAGCATCATTTATAAGTATCAGCTTGGCTGTGTACATATAACCAAACTTCTGGGAAGAGGTGCCTGGTCTTATTTTTTAAAAGTAAACACTGAGGTATGGAATAATTAAGGAATTCTCCTCCTCTTGCCTACTGCATGCCCTTCACTACAGTACAGACAAGTCCAAAGAGAAGTGGGCTGCGGTCAATGTCAGGTGTTAGCACACAGGGGCAGGACCCTTCTCTCTGCTCCATTCCTCAGGGGCACATTTCCACCTCTAAACAGAACTGCATGTTATCACATGACTTTGGATTACCTATTCCCCTTATTTGTAACTTTATTTTTTCCTATTCTGGCCCTGAAAGTACTGTATGGTAACTGCATTGCACTTAACACTTACGCCTTCCCATTACATCAGCGTTTCCTACAGGAGGGAGGAGCCTGAATGTCCCCCAGGCAGCTTTGATTTATGCCCCTCCATTTTGCTTAGCTCATTAACTTCTGCTCTTTGGGGAGCAGAAAAGAGATACAAATTGCCCACCTAAGGAAGGCATAATTTGCACCTTAATCCGTCCCAGCTCACTTCTTTTGCCTTCTCTCTCACATATGCTTTTTAGCATCACAGCAAGTCAAAATGACTTTTTCCCACCACAGTAGCCCCAGTGCTAAATCAAAACATAAAGACATTTTTTATCTGAGAAAGATTAAAAAAAAAAAGGAGATAAGAAAGAGAAATGAAGCTGTAACTCAGCTCTTATTCAAAGCACAGAGAGTCCTGTTTACACATGGCCTATGAGGCATTGAACTCTCAGTTACTACTGTGGGTGGCATCCCTGGAGGTGGGGGTTGATGGGAGGTTCTGCTGACCTTGGGCGATGTCTGCCTGGGTGAAGCTCCGGACGGGACCTTTCACGGAGACCTGCTGCAGGTGGTCGTGCTTAGCTACCTGCAGGCGGCCTGCACCAGGATCTTCCTTCAGGAGATACACAACCTGGCGGTCATCAGAGTCAGCGTCTGTCACTTTCAAGTGATGCTCCGTGATGCGTGCTACAGAGCCTGGCAAGAGAATGAAGAGCGTCATTCCCCACCATTTCCTCTGAGGGGGATGTCAAATGATTTCAGTACACAGGAGGCCAAATTATCGCATGTTCCTTGGGTCTAAGCACCAAGCACTCACCCTTCTCAGTTTCCAGATGAATAAATTTTAATTTCCCTAAGTGAAACAGTCCTAGCTTTGCAGTTTGCTAATCATCCCTTGAGTTTAGACCTGAGCCCCTTTTCTCTTCTGACACGTTTTCATCTCTCTAGGATCATTCTACTTGGGGATCAAGGAGTTAGTACCTGGATCTATATAACTCCTAGATCTGTGAAGACTATAACTCCTAGATCCATGATGAAATCTGCTTGGATTTAATTTATTTCTGTCTTGAGGATAACCAAATCAGGAAAAAAACAAAACAAAACCCAGCTTTAAATAAACTCACAAACATATCTTGTTGCCATGTCAGACCAAATAATCCAAAGGAGGCTGAGCTGGGTACGAAGAGCAGTGAGGACTGAGCCTCAGGCCTGGACGCTCCACAGCGGCTGGTCAGAGGCAAGGTACAGGCTGCTGGCAAACTCATTCCCCCAGAGGCTGGCCCCTGGCTTTCTGCCCAGCCATTTTATTATGTTAAAAATAGTAGATTCTGGTAAAGTAGATCGTAGTCATTCCTGTGTAATAGACCCTGGTGTTTGGAGTGGCAAGCGGCCACAGGCACTGAGCCCACTGCACCTGCTTGCTGGGTGATGGCAAGAATGCAAGGCCCTGACTGCTCTTTATCCAGGCCACCTCCCAGCCAGCAGCCTTAAGGGCTGAGGGGATGCCCTCCTCTGGGACAAAGATGAGACTTGCTTACCATTTGCTACAATACGGGAAGTTCCCGAGCTTACTATCCCACTCTGTAATGCACCCCACCGCCTGTGAAGGTGCCCATCTCTGCATCACATCCATAGGACTTGGAGGGCACCAGGAACATGGGCAAACTTGCTGATGCCCATGCTGCCTGCAGTGCTGGGGGTAACAGTATCTGTCTGTGATGGATGGATCTTGTGTCCTCTCCCCCCATCCATGAAAAGGTAACAAGCTTATTAGCTTATAAGGAAGGTAAGGTCAAATCCTAGACCTGATACCTGTGACCTTTGGGAATCCCCAAATTTCCATATACTTTCATACTGTATATTTTTCCTTAACAAACATAGGCGAAACTAACAATAGACAAACTCCAGAACCCCATGAGATACAGAGCTCTGCAGGCGAAGGACCCACTCCCTAACTGACTCTGCACTGCCGAGCAGTCCAAGACCCACACTCATCACAGATTCTTCAGTATTGCTTGAACATGAGCAAAACTGGGAGTTTTAGACTCTAGAATATTGTATCTCATGATCCTTGATTATTTGCATAATCTCTTTTAATGCATGATGATCTCCCAACAGCCTATCTTTTAAATAAGCATCTTGAAAATGCTGCTGTATTTCTTTTGTTGTTGTTGTTTTTGTGGGGTCAGGTGAACAGCAACAATTTTACAGGAATCTGAAGCTTAACAATTCAAGATCCACCCCCATGACCAACATGGAAGGACCAGGAAGAAGCACAGCCCCGTTCCTCCATCCCAGTGGTACCTGCGGAGAGCTGCAGGCCTCGGTTCACAGCCAAGTGGGGGGTGTCACCCGCAGGCAGTTCTATGTGGATGTCCATCCTCCCCGAATCTTCATGGAGGCCATCGGTAAGAAAGAACTGGAACTCATCCACTCCCACACCTGGGCTACCAGGCACATACCCAACCAGCCCAGCCAGGACATCCTGGTAGGTGAAGGAGGAGCCCTGGGCTAAAACTGTCCCATTCTTCAGAGGCTCAGAGGTGCTCTGCCTCCGGATTAGATCGCCTGAGGAAAGAAGTGGAGAAAAACAAAGAAGCAATGGTAGACTGTCTGTGGCACTCTAACACTGTCTGATTCTGATTCTGATTCTGATTCTGCCAGCTGTACGGCCCAGGGAGGACGTCAGCACCTCAGAGCCTCTCGCTGAGCGCATTAGACGTGTGTAAGCACAGGGTGCTGCCCGCTGTCTCATCTACACCAAAAAAGGACAAAGTCTCGTTTCTTTCTGGTTAAAGGTCTCTTAAGGAGATATGAATTGATGTGCTAATACAACAGCTTAAAAATCACATCTCCCTCCATGAATGCAAATCACTTTATTGTCTAAACCATAGTTTTCCCTTCTGCAAAATGAAAATAGCCCTCTTCACTCCCTGCCTTCCTCTTAAGGCATCTGAGGTGGGAGATGGGAATTTGTTTTAAATTCCTTTTACATTTAGAAGACATGAAGCATCTTTGGATTGAGGCATATGCTTCTGTTTTCAAGGGTCATGTACTACGATGGGACAGCTGCAGCTCTTCCCTCGAGAAAGTGGGAGTGAATGAAGTAAGCTGACACGCAGTGGTCGGCAGCCTCTTCTATTATCCCTCCCCCACAGCAACTATACATTTATTTATTTTAATTATATATAACATGTATACTTATTTTGTTTCCAGATACAATTTCACTCTGTTGCTCAGGCTGGAGTGCAGTGGACTGATGACAGCTCACCGTAACCTCAGATTCCTAGGTTCAAGGAATCCTCCTGCCTCAGCCTCCCAAGCAGCTGAAGAGTACAAGTGTGCACCACCATGCCTGGATAACTTTTTAATTTTTTATAGAGATGGGATCTAGTCCAGGCTGGTCTCCAGATCCTAGTGTCAGGGGATCCTACTCGGCCTTCCAAAGTGCTGGGATTACAGGCAGGAGGTGCTGCACCAGGCCCACACTAACAATTTAATTTTTGAAAGGCCAATGGACATTAGAATGGCTTGAGAGACACATGTGGGTTCTAGGGCTTTAGCAAGTACCAGGGAGATGGTACTTAGAAAAGAAGTGAGCAGAAAACCCCACTGCAGTTTTCCATCTGATTTAAATCAGGAAAAGTACTTCCTGTGAAAACGGAACAGGCTCATAATAACGTCTAACATGCCTCTAAAAGGATTGGCAAACTCTGACATCCATTCTGAGAAGGGGATATGTGAACTCCAAAACTTGCTTTGTTTGAAGTTACATAGGAAATTAAGAAAACAGCTGAAATTAAATTTTAGACACACCAGTGAACTAGGATTGAGGCTCTTTAAACAATTGGTGTCTACCATGACTTCAAGAAATGTTAGCTGCCTGTGAATCTAATTATACTCAGGTGCAAAAGATGGACCATACACAGGAAAGGGAGAGAAGTAACTGAAATCTTTGTGTTCACACCAATAACCCATTGGGCATCGCAAGTAAGAAGCTTTCCATGGCAGTTTGTGTCCTACCGTGGTCAGGCTTTTTGGTCAATACAAAAATCAGCTCATTATCTGGGGTGTCCAGGTCTTGTAGGCTCAAGGAAGAATTGCTTATCACCACTCCCAAGTTCAGCTGCACTCTGAGGGGCTGCAAGGTCAGCCTGGGTGGCTCATCGTTCTTTCTCTGATGAAAGCATAAAGCATTAGATCTCACACAGATATTGGCTTAAGGAGAAAGAAAATGTAAGTTATTCGAAAAGAATATTGTTGTCACAGCTACTTTCATTACCAAAATAGCATTTAATGTGCCACCATCTTTACGTTCCAATAAAAATGGTTAGTTTGAAAAGAGCAAGGCGGGTGGCACCTGTGGCTCAAAGGAATAGGGCGCTGGGCTCATATACCGGAGGTGGCGGGTTCAAGACCAGCCACAGCCAAAAACTGCAAAGAAAAGAGAGCAAGGCACACAAACAACACATCCCCTTGATAGGAAGGTGATGGACATTCTACAAAAGTCTTCTCAGAAATCTTACATGGCTACAATGATCATCTTTTCTAGACCAAAAATATGGACATGTGATTTCACAAGTGTGTTTTAGGGATAAAGGGCTTACTACGTGAACTCAGAACTGTGGTGGGAAGCCCCAAGCATACTGCAGGCCTGCTCCAGGACACTACATCTGAAAGTGTAGGTTTCAAAAGTTGTCTCCCTGCCCTGTGCCCGCCCCTTTCCACCACTGTTCCTTAAAGTGCTAAGGGTTCCACACTTTTTAGTTTCCCAAGGCAAAAGATATCCCATTTTGAGATTTGTCTTTTATCTTTCTTTCTTTCTCTCTCAGGGATGACAGAGCAAGTCTATATAGTTCCTCAAATGTGAATAAATACAGCATCAAGGAAAATATTTCTTTGATGTTACAATTAAATATTAAAATAAGAAACGGCAAATAATTATATAGAACCAAACACAATGATAGCAGAGGAAGACAGGCATGTATCAGTTTCATCTAAACCTGGGACTGGCCAGGCTTCTTTGTCTCAACCTCACAATCTCTTTTCCCATAGAATGAATAAATTTTACCCTGAAGGGGAAATTCAGATTTCTAACTCAAACCTTCCTCAAATGCCAACCTTAATTCTACAAGTGTCCTGAAGGCTATATTTTTAAAATGACCTTTAAAATTGAAGGTCAAATCCAATCTTCTTTGCTTCTGTGTGCACACACAGAGAGCCTTGGTCAAAGTCAACTTCCAAAATTTTTACCTCAATGGTGATACTGATGCTGTGAACTTCTGAACGATTGGTTCCATCACTCACGTAAAAACTAAAAATATCCTGGGTTGGCTCGATGCTTTCATGAACACTCTGAGCGTAGTAAATGAGGCTTAACACAACATCCTGAACAGGGAAGGATGCCTCTAGGTCACTGGTAGTTTCAGGGCCAAAACGATCACCTGCATCAACACCAGGAGAGAATTGTTACCTTGATCCATCAATTCCTGCTTACTCAGCTACGCTAGAAAACAAGGTATCATTTTCAACAAAAGATGAAAAGTGTGTTTGAGCATAAAGGTGGGAGAGAGGGAGGTAATCCCAAGACCAGGAATTGGAAACCCTGGGGTCAGATCCCAGTTTCCCCACTGACTATGTCTCACCTATAAGTGGAAATACCTGCCTTTCCATGTCCACAGGGAAGGAAATGAGATACATGTGATATACAAAAAAAGCACTGAGGATGCCATTACTTTACACAACATAGAATCAGTGGTTTTTTCCTTAGGAACTTCTGATAACATAGGTCCTGGGGCATGTAACGGCACAAAAGCAAAGATTCTACCTTGAGCTCCAGTCAGTCTCAAAAGCATTCTCTCTGGCATATCCTACAAGAGGAAACCTTTCTTTACACCTGGAGAGGTTTACCACGCTACTTTTATTTAGGAACTTCTCCGTCATGTTTTCATTTGACTGCCAGTCCCTTAAGGAAACCTCTGCGTGGCTCACTACACCATGGTCCCTGGATGGTGATGCCCAGGGACCATTTGGACAAGAGGTGCCCAGGTGCCATTCAGAGGTCTGGTGCCTTTTGGTACCACTCCAGGTCACAATTCTCATCCCAACTCCAAACACTGTAAAAGGCCCAGGGCATGAGCAAGCAATGTCTATGTGATGGATGCTTTGCCTTTTCCTTGATTCTAATCTGAGTCTCTCTAATTGATTGAGTGTAAATTGTCAGCACAATGTCCTTCTACGGGGGGGGGGGGGGGGGGGAAGAACCCCTTGTGTTCTTGAACATTCCCTGGACATAAATCAACACAGAAAAGCATGACTAGCAGATCTGGAGGCCCTAGGCCAGGAGACACTCCTTCACATGGACTATCTGCCATTCCAGGTGACATACAGTGTGCTGGGAAGACTTGACAAAGAGTCTTGGAGAGGAGGGAAAGTTGGTGAGGATGTCCTTTCATCATCTCCCACCTCTGCCCAGCTTTCCCCCCACAGAAAATGCCATCTCCCCCTCTGCCCAAGGATACTCCCACTAATTTTCCAAATTCCAACTCAAATGTCACTTCCTCAGACTTCTCTGCCTTCCCAGGCAAAAGCCACTGCTCTGTGCTCTGGACTGTCTGGGCCTCTGCTCCTTTCCCTGTCCTGGTCCTTTTCCCTGATTGTAATTATTTAGCTTCATGTCTGCCCCCAACTCCAGGCACAGTCTGGGTCTCATTCATCTTTACATCCATTGTATCTAGCACAGACATTTAGGGAAAGAAAGCTAATTCTGCAATAAACAAATCTGAGTGCACACGCTGAAGGGGAAAAGATCTAACATTTTGCACAGAAAAACATGACCACTGCTAAATGAGCTTCTGGTAAGCAGGCTGCAGTCCCAGGCCCATGCTGGTCACAGACACCTGCAGTCAATGGCCTCGCTGTGGGAGCTGCTGGCTGCACGTCAATTAGAGCCAAGTGCGGGTGCTCAGGACCCTCCACACAGGGGCAGCAGCACAGCACGCCGCCAGGAGCTGTCTCAGCTGCCAGTCACAGCAGGGCTCAGGAGCCTGTGGACAGGACACGCCACTTGCCTTGCTTCTCTGTGATACCCACCAGTGGGTGCAGGGCAGACGGTTCAGGAAGAGGGGTGAGCAGACAGACAGCAAGCATTTCAATTCATGTCATATCCACAGAAGGAGCTGAGACCTCAGCTAGGGTTTAGCTAAACTGCAGCTGCCTCACAAGAAAAGAACAGGGATTTTTACTCGCTGGCCTCAGCTCTGAGTGTGATCACGAGGCCTTCTGCCCTCCTTGCTGATGTTCCAAATCGCCTTACCCTGCTCTATATGTTAAATACCACTTAGTCATTTTCTAACATCTTACATAGTATTCTTATTTATTAGGTTTTTTTATTTGTCTCCCTCCAGCAAGATCTAAGGTCCCATGAAGGCAAGGTGTTTTGTCTGTTGTTCACTGATGTGCTTGAAGAAGGGTCTGGCACACAGACAAGCCTCAGTACATGTTTGCTTTAAATTGGTTCCATCCCCTCCAGCTCTCCACCTCTAGGTCTGACAGGACTCGGGCCCTCCCCTCCCCTGCCCCCCTTCTTCCCAGGTCCCGCCATTCCGCAGCAGCACCGGCACCTGTTCCCGTGTTCTCGATGTAGCCGTATTTGGGCAGGACGCTTAGTCTAATGATCTCATCTCCCTGGAGGTTGTCCTGATCATCAGTAGCAAAGAAATGGTGCAATGAGATGGGGGCTCGCCCTCCCTCCTCAACCTAAGGAAGAAGAGAACATGGGGAGTCCTTAGGAGACGGCACATGACAGCAGTGAGAAAGAACCGAACTGAAAAGTGGCCTGGGTGACCTTCCAGCACCAATTCCTCTTGTTTCAGGAGGCAGATCTCTACAGACAGAGGAGGGATGCATCTGCCGTCACCTTTCAGCGCCTCCCAAAGCTACACTCAGGCACGATGCCCTCTGTGTCTCCCTTAAAGCTGCTCTTCACTCAGTGATGGATCTGGTAGTAAAGCTGCTCTAGTTGGTTCTCACCACCCACTGCGGCTCACCTACACGGCAGGATGGTGCCTTCCTTCCACACTGACACTCAAAAGCCCACGGATGGAGAATGACAGATTGGTCCTCCCTGGATACTGCGGGGAGACTCTGTCCTAAGGCATCTCATCCAGAATAACAGCCCTCTTCATTCTTTTGTGCTACGTATTTATAGGTGTGTAGGAAGAAAGGTTCACCGCATCTGAAGCTGGTGCTTATCTTAATGATGTCAAGGAGGAAAATAAATCAGTATAAGCAGAAGCAGTTGCTCGAACTAGCTTTCTCCTTTAGGGTCCATTTTGTGTGCTAACCCTGCCACTCGGCCTGGCGTTTCTCTCTAGCCTACTCGAGGTGGTCATGCCCGCTTCACTCCAAGCAACTCTGGTGAACTACAGGGAGGTCTATGTTACCAAGGAGAAGGCTGCCCTGATTCTGGGAATGGGGACGGTGCAACTGGCTTCCCCAAGTATGGAAATATGGCAGGAATATCAGAACCATTTAGAAAGAACTCAGTGTTTTATGGATTTTCAGTTGCTCAACAAAACCAGAAAAGCTCTTGAGATGATGGCATTGTGGGGAGCAGAAGAAGACAGGGAATTAACATTTACGGAATCCGTACCACAAACAGGGAATTGTGCCGGGGATTTTCACACTATTTTATTAATCATCAGAGAAATCCTTTATGCAGTAGGAATAGCAATATTTTAAAGCAAGAGCTGGGTATGGTGATGGTACCATGTGGTAGTTTCAGCAACGACTTGGGAAGCTGAGATTGAGGGTCACTTGAGACTAGGACTTAGAGTCCAGCCTGGGCAACACACATCTCTAAATGAGGAAACTGAGTCTAAGTTTAGGTCACCAAGCTAGTAACAAGATGGGCACTTGAACTCATGTCTAGGCGACTTCAATGATCAATATACATTATGTAATCCCCTCCTTAATGGAATTGTCACTATTGTGGACAGTGCTCAGTGTTGACTGGATTGAAGGAGTCACGTGAGGACACTGTCCATGTTCTAGTTACTGCCAACATTAGATCGTAAACTCCTCAAAGATATATTCTACTTCTAATTTTATACCCAATACTAACACCATCTAGTACAGGACATAAATATTTGTTGACTAATTAATGTAGACAGAATGATTTGAACTTCTGTATACTTACTTTCATACTTTTCAAAAAACTCATGATTGAAAACCATGCCTATCTTGATACCATCGCCTAGGTATTTGGAGTGGGGAGGGAGAACTGGGCAGCCAGTGTAGGCAGAAACCTTTAGCTTACCCTCCCACAGACTTGAGCTCTCGATAGCACTCACTGCTTATTGATCTGAGAATTGTTTACCGTGATAAGGTCAGCGAAAGCAAAGAGTGCAGGCGGATGTCTGATGGGAGTGACGATGATGGTGAACATCTGATTGTCCAGGTGGTTGTGGTCCGTGTCAGAGACAGAGAAAGAGAAGTTATCAGTAACCAGATGATCATACGTTTCAAACACAGTTGAGTACCTACAAGAGGCCAAAAAGAATTGAATGAAGGAGACAAACTGACAAGCCAGGTAAGATGGCCACATCTTTCTTTAAAAATGAGGCCAGAAGCAATATATTCTCTCAAGGGAGCTACAATCAGTTGCTTAAATATTTTAACACAATTTTTAAAAGTCTATCAAATAACACATACCTAATGTTCTTGTTGTTGATGTCTTCCATTGTGAAGTTTGAAATCTCTGAGAGTTCTTCCACCTCAGGTCCTGAGGTTTTTAAGAGAGTACCATACATAGGCAGAGAGCTTAACCGAATCCAGATCTCTGCATCGGGGGAAGAGTCGTCCTAATCAGGGAAACACAAGGCAGGACGTGAACGCACATTTGCAGAAATAAAGACTTCCAGTAGTTACAGAACTGTGGGTGCCTTTTTCTCTTTGTCATAAAGCAACACCATTTCAGACTGTGTGAAAATCCTAGTATTTATTCCTCCTAAAATGCCTCTTTGATAATGTCTTTTTCTAAAAGTAGCTCAAGATAAGAGAAGGGAAATACATGTTAGGTCTGGAGCATAAAACAAAGACATGCCCTACTGTTCTCATAGGAGCCATACAAGATTTTGTTTTTACTACAAGCATCTAGTGAGGAATAAACCATGCCAGCCGTAAGTCATCTATCTATAAACAAAGACACGGGCTTCTTCCAGAATTCTAAGGATGGTTTGTTTTTTTGGAAACAAGTAAAATTACATTATAACATACAATGATAAAAGTCTGTGAGACAGAAAGAAGTTATTTAGCTTAGCCAATGACTCACTTTAACATTCCACATGATAAAATTTTGAATTAACAAAGGAATCTATGAAGTCTTGGGGATTTCATTCTATCAGGATTGAATCTATAAGTGTTCTCTCCCCAGGATGCCTCATCTTAACAGAAACCATTTATTTCTCTTTCCTTCAACATTGTTTATTGAGAAATAAAATTGCTTTTCTGTGTTTCACACGGACAATAACGATGTCTTAATGAACGATTTACTCTTTCTTCAAGGATATTCTTGGAACTATGGGAGGCAAGGCAACATCTTCTTGGAAAGTTCCCCTGAGTCGTTTGTCTTCTAGAGCTGTTGATAGTGAAAATAGGGGCATTCTATGTTTTACCAGAGCAACAATGAAAATAAATGCTGCATGGTCAACTGTACTTCCAAATCACGTGTTTGTGGCTGTGACTGTACTGCAGAGGTAGCTGAGGAACAGGACCGGGACTGTGGGCATGGACAGCAGGTGGGCAGGGGACAGCAGGTGGGCAGGGGACAGCAGGCGTCAGTCTACTCTCATTTGTATCCACAGGGGCCTTTTCAAGTTAGAAGTTCAGAGCCTCAGTGCAAGATCACAGAATTTCCACATCACTTGACACTAGCAAGACTTCAAACCTTCAGTATAGTTCTCCTAAATTTACAGTCTTTTAAAGTTTCTCTGTTTTTCCACACGGGTTAGCAAATATAATATGTTGGCTTCCAAAAGACTATTTCCTAATATTACTGTGAGTTCCCTCTGATAGAGAATTTTAAAAAGACAGCTGAGAGTTTTAAGGTGTTGTCTTCTGAGATGGTGATAAGCAACACGGACGGTGCCCGGCTCTGCATTAGAATGAAGAGCTTCTAAATTTCACACTGGCAAATGTGGCAAAATGAAAAAAATAAAAGCTTATTTCAAGTCAGACAGTTCTTATTATGTTTCAAGCACAAATGACTGCTGGGTTTGAAAAAGTGGGAAATCAGCTAGATTTTTTTTCCTAAAAATACCATTTCATAACATAAAGAAAATCACTATTTTAGAATATCAAAAATATTGTGGGTACACAGAAACACATAAGAGTATGGACCCTTTTCCCATGTAACTTTCCTGCTCAAAGACCGTTATCCCTTTGGTATTAATCTACTTTTTCATTTTCATTGTATTATTTATATATCCATCAATCTCGTGTTCAGCACACTTACACTTTCATAATACCCAACACTTACCTACGTGCTCTTCCTTCAGCCTGTCCTTACGGACTGGACTACAAATCTTCTTTCTCATTTTCTTGAATTTCTTAGTATAGTTTGGTAAGTGACTATAAGGTGTATCTAGGTTTTTTTAAAATTTATAAACATTGAGTTGACCTTCCTTGTATGGGACTTTTCACTCAACAGCAGACTGCTAAGATCCATCCATGCTGATGTTTGCAGCTACAGTTCATCTGTTTTGAGGATCATAGTCTATTGGGTGAGTATAACACAACTCATCTGCTATCCTATTGTCGGGCATTTGGGTTCTCTCACTGTTTCTGCTGTTGTAGACAGTACTGCTGTGAATGTTCTTGCACGTGTTCCGTGTATATGTGAGAGTTCCTCTTGGGTAGAAATCTGGAGATGAACGGTTAAGGTCTATGAATAGTCATGCTCATAAGACAATGCAAATTCTTCCCCAAAGTGGTTGAGTTTAAGAACATTCTGTAGCTGCATTTCCTCTCTAACTTGTATAAGATGGTATGTGGTATGTGGCTTCCCTTGTCCACCAATAAAGCTGAGTATCTGCTCATGTTTATTGACCGTATGTGTTCCTCTTCTGTGAAATTTCTTTTCTTTTTTTTTTTTTTGTAGAGACAGTCTCACTTTATCGCCCTTGGTAGAGTGCGTGGTGTCACAGCTCTTCTGTGAAATTTCTATTCATGTTTCTTGCTCATTTTTCTGTTGAATGATCTTTTCTTCTTGATCTGCAGAAGTTTTATATTTTCTTTGCTGTTTCTGGTCATATGTGCTACACGTGTCTTTTTCTAATTTGTAGTGTTCTGCTTTCTGCCTTACAGAGTGTTTTAATGAATACAAATTTAATTTTAATGTAGTCAAATTTGTAAGAAAATAACCTTTTCTTTTACAGTTGGCAATTTTTGCTTCTAGTTGAAGAAATTCTTCCCTTTATCAATATCATAAGAATATTCATCTATACCCGGCAAAGAATTATAAAATTTTACTTGTAGTATTTACGTTCTTGATTTGGAGATATTAACTTTTCTGGAGTTAGTATCTGTCTAGGGTAGGAGGGAGCAGTACAAATTAGTATTTTTGTGACATAATCATTTGTGTAGGTCCATGTTTTAAATTGTTCCTCCTGTTTCCACCGACTGGGCTTTCTCTCTCTGCTTTATATCAGAGGTCCATGTGTTGACCAGATTCTGGACTCTAATATATTCCTGGGCTACACTGTTTTAAATAACATATGTTTATATCAAATTTTGATATCTGGTAGGGGGAGTCCCCTTGCCACCTGACTACTCTTTCTCAGAATTTTGGTCCTTTATCTTTCTTATATATTTTAGAATCAATCTATTAAGATCCATAAAACCTCCATTGGGCTTTTGATTGGAACCGAATTGAACCAAAGGAATCTTTGATAGAGGAATCAATACTCTTTCAATATTACATGTTCCTACTCTTGAATATGCCATATCTCTTCACTTATTTAGTGATTTTTAAATGTCTGTCAATTAAATGTTATAACTTTTTCAGAGAAGTACTGTCTGTTTTTTTAAGTCCAAAAGACATAATTTTTTTTCAATGCCACATCAATGGTATCATCTTTTTAGTTATATTTACTGGCTATTTTCTGGTCATGCTGTTGCTCTCTATTCATCTTCTATCTGGTCCCTTGGCAAATTCACCTTTTATTTCTAATCCTTTGTCAAGAGAGTCTTTGAATTTTTCTATATAGTCGGGCATAGCATTACTTCTTCCCAGAGGTACACATCTTTTGTTACATTCTGATATGTGTGATATGTAATGTCATTATACAGGGTAACACATTTCGAATAATTTGTCTTTGGCTGGTGCATAGAAACACTGTTACCTTTTTAAGATTAATGATATCCTTCTCATATTGTAGATGGGAAAACTGAAGCTTAGAGAGTTTAAATAACTTGCGAAGGGTCATGATGCTAGTAAGTGGTGAGTTTCGATTAAAACCCATCCATTCTAACTCCAGAACCATTATCATTCCTCCTCTACCTGTTCACTCTCTGTGCACGGCAAACCATGCACCTTTTTTTTTTTTTTTTAAGAAGCAAAGCACACAAAATCCCACTTTCACATTTTGTCTCTTCCAACATCCTATCACTAGGATTTCAGATGGCTTTTCCAACCTTTCCAGATAGTCATTGAAAACTTTCTAACTATGCATATCTGGAAAAATTTTTCATGGTACTAGGTACAAAATTCTTCTACAACTCTTGGAGAAAGTTAGTATATAACCTCACTAAGTCTTTAAAATGTATGCTGTGCTTTTGGCAGGCTAGAATAGTTCTTTTGGAGTCTTTCTGCTCTGGTGGGTAAATTCACATTCAATCAATTTCTGAAAATATATGTTCAGTTGCCAATGGGCTCACATTTTGATATTCAGCTTATAATATGCAGTTAATGGACAGGAACTGCTCCGGGAGTGCTATTTTGGTCTGTGAAACATTTTTCAAGCCTTGGTGATCTATTGATTAAATCTGAATTCATACATTTTTATGAATTCATGAGTTTCATAACATTCAAAAGACCATAATGTATGGTAAAAATCACCTGTCAATTAAAAAAAAATACCCCCAAACCCCCCAAATCAAAGCTGTTCTGAAACTATAGTAGACCCCAGAGAAGAATCAGGGTGGAAGGCAGTTTCTCATAATTTAAGAAGAGACCATTTGAGGGGAAAATCTGTGCAAAAGCGATTGTTCCCAGGCCATCGCTTTATCTTACATGCTACTATTCAGAACTACATTTGATAGGGAAATTCTTTAGCCCAGAAAATGATTACTCAAAACTATACAGTGTTTAGAAGGAAAAAAAAAAAAGGCAGTCCAGACCATTGGTTGCAGTTTCATAACTAGTCAAAGAAAAATTCCATACTTAGAATACCATTCAGATGATCACTCTTCCTTTCAAGGCATTGTGAAAACTACTCATTATTGTGTTTACAAAGCAAATACATATCTGTTTACAACAAACATGCCCACAAACTAAAATTAATTATCTTTATTATCCTTAGCTCCAGAGGTAGAATCAAAGAAGGATGATAAGTTTAATTACCCAGGATCACATATCAAGTTAGGGCCAGACTAGGGGAAAAACCCTGAACCCTGATCCTCCCTGTGGCCCCACCCCCACCCCCTTCTTTGGGGGCGGGAGGGGGGATGAGTCAGTAATTGTGCGTGGAACGGTGGCAGAGAAGGACTGCCACAGGGCAGGTCGGAGTTTCATCTGGAGGGGACTAGAGCCTGATGTGGATGGATAGCAGGCTTCCTCTCAGGGCCCACTGTTACTTATGGACAGGTAAGCTCTAAAATGCTCTTTTTCTAAAATTCTCATTGGAAACATCATGGATAGAGCTTAAACAAAGGGGACTTGGGCTTTGCTGATTGTTTCCTGTGACAGCTATCCATCCCTTCACACATTCCCTGTGTTTTCATCAAAGTTTTGTTCATTTTTTTCTGTTCATGAGGTGCCGGGAGAAGCCAAGATAAACAGTGGAACTGGTCCTAAGAACAGAAGTGCAGGCAAGTTGAGAAAAAGCTTCCTTACGTGGCCAAATATCTGCCATCCCCCAACTCAGCGTGGCGCTGCTTTCTGGTTAGCCCTACAGAAGGTGCAGTGGAGAACAGAAACAAAAACAGGACTCACCACGTATGCCAGGTGGGACCTGGTGAGCACAGCTGTCCCTTTGCTAGCCACCACGATGCTCAGGGGGCAGCCAGCGGCCAGCTGAGGCCCCGGGCTCTCTGACCGTGACACCTGCACCGTCACTTCCAGTGCTGTCACTGTGATGCCATCTGTGATGGAGAGCTCCATGCTGTCCTCCCGCGCAGAGGAACCATCGTGGACATACTGCAGGGCATTCTTCTCCATATCCTCATAGGTGAAAGTGTCACCTTCCAAGAATAAAACATGTTGCAGAACCATATGCCTCTGGGGATAATGCTTTTCCTGTACACAACACTTTGTCCTCAGGATTTCAAGCTACATATAGGATCAGAGACTCTGGGAGTTATAAACTAATTAATCCAACTATCTACTCAATATAGGATTCCCTTTACAACACCCTTGAATAAGGGTGATTAACTCATAACACTTAAGATAATAAATTATGTTTGATGAACCTCTAAGAGGTCTTTGTTTTAATTGGAGGCATAAGATTTTTAAAATTAAAAGTGGGAAAATATAGTTGAAGTTTGAAACCCAAACTATGTAGCCTAGAGTACTAATTTGTGATAGATTTAATAGGTATTGTGTGAAAAAAGTTTTGAGGTTAGACGCTCTTGGGAAAAATGAAATAAACTTTAAAATGCAATTTTTTAAAGCCGCAGGACCAGGAACTATAAACTTTCCAGCACACAATTATAAAAGCTTCTCAAAGTTATCACGGAACCCTATTTATGAGAAATGCCTCTTGGTGCTGTGAGCCCTAATGATTCCATAAAAGGCAGCTGAGAAATTGCTCTTCTTGGATGTAACATTCAACCCTATCTTCTGATAGATTCTTGGCCCTAATAATTGGTGTTATGTAATGAGAAGAAAGAATTTACTCATTTGCTGTATTTCTCGTCTAAGCCTTTTATTTTCAGCAGTGTGTTAGGGTTTTTTACTGATGTTAGTGGTATAGTGACCATAAAAGGGTAATCAAACTTTTGACAAACATCTTTAGATCTTATACATTAATTGCACAAATGTAGGTTAAATGAAATGTGAAAGAAACTGGGCAATGACTGTTAGGTTTCTAAAGTAGCTCCCTGGGCATGTTTCAAATCTATTCTAACGACACTTCTTTTGTTCAGTAAATTTTTGAAAGTCTAACTTTGTGACTCCCAAATGCCCATTGGTTGTTCTTAAAAATTCCATCTACTTTCAAAAGCAAAAGATTCCCCCCCCAGCAATATACAGTATATTATTACATCTCTAAAACGGTTCATACAAAGGTTTTGAGAAAGTACAGATTGTTAGAATAAGATACAGCATCCTGAGGTGACGACTCTGAAAAGGATAACAGTTACTTGATACCCTGTAAGGGCTGAGCACTGAAAAATTTACATTTAGTTGTGTTCTTTCTGGTTTTTTTGTATCTTAAATATGTAGGACTTTTTATAATCAGAGAAAGCACAGTAAATATTAGTTGGGAAAACTGGTCCTATTATCACACTGTTGTGCTCCATAGATAATACTTCAAAAGTGTGTTCCCTTTTTTTAGTGCATGAAAATATATGTATTAGTGCTAAAAATATCGTGACAATTCACATACAGATTAAGGCCAACAAATTCATTTCCATGAACAAACTATAGGAAGGTGGCAGCTGATACCCCATACAGCTACAGTCCCCAACCTTTTGACACCAGGGTCCAGTTTCATGAAAGAGGGGGCATCAGGTTCTCATAAGGAGCTTGTAGCCTAGATCTCTCACAGGTGTTCCTGTGAGAATCAGATGCCGCTGCTGATCTGGCAGGAGGCGGAGCTCAGGGGGTGATGCGAGTGCTGGGGAACGGCTGGAAACACAGATGACGCTTCCCTTGCCCCCCTACCACTCTTTTTCTGCTGTGTGGCCTGGTTCCTAACAGGCCATAGACCCAAACTGGACCCACACCAGGCTGGGTCTGTGGCCCGGGCATTGGGGACCACAGCCGTAAGGTGTTGTTTTAAATGCATTAACCTTAAGTTTCAGAAATCCATCTATTTAACCTGTAATTTAAGGAAAAATGTTCACAGTCTCTAAGATAGGGACAGGGAAAGGTGGAGGGTAGGGGGTAGGAGGGGGCAGATGAAGAGGTTTCAAAAATCAAGACCAGGGCAGTGCCTGTGGCTCAAGGAGTAGGGTGCCAGCCCCATATACCAGAGGTGGTGGGTTCAAACCCGGCCCCAGCCAAAAACTGTAAAAAATAAATATAAATAAATAAACTGTTTTTAAAAAAAAACAACAAAAAAACCCCAAAAATCAAGACCAATGAACTATATACAAAAGGAAGTATCTCCTCTAAGAGCTAGTCCCACAAAGAGACTTTCTTCTTGTCTAAAACACATAAAACAGACTATAGAGCAAAAAGTCCTTCAAGCAGGGCGGTGATGGAGTGTGCGGCTACCTGCAGCCAGGGGCCTCTGGAGCCCAGGTGTGTTCTTAAGGAGTGCACCGTGCTGGGGAGGTCTCCGGAGCTCAAAGAGGAGTTCTTCACGTGCTGTCTCGGCATCTCTTGCTACCAGCTGAACTCCTGCAGCGAGGAAAATAAGGCTTAGTGAAAGAGAACAGGTATGTTAAAAAAATGTATATCTACCTGTTACACATAGCCACAGGCCAGGCTGGCAGCCATGCCATGGGTACTCAGAAAGTGCCAATTAATTCCAGTCAAGCACAAAAGAGTGAAAACTGATAGTACAGTCCATTTCCAGATTCCACGTAGCTTCTTCTAGAGGTTCACTTACAAGTAGGTAGTTCTGAATTCAGAACACCTTTTTTCTCCCTTATAAATGAGGGCGTGCATAGAGGACGCTAACAAGTAGGTCAGTCCTGACCAACTGGGATAGATTTCCTTCTAGAAAATACTCCCATAAATGGTTTTTCCTTTTCGTGGTTTTTTCTCCATTATTTTCCTGAATCTGTAGAAGAGCCAAGTTTAATGACGGCTGTGATGGATGTCATGAAAGTGAAAGGTGTCAGGAGGAAGCGACGGTCGGCTTTGTACACGCACATGTTTTGTTTTGATAATTAATTGTTACCCAGAAGAGGAAACTGAATAGGATCTATAGTCCACACCCAACAAAATCACAGCATCTACTGCTTATTAAAAAAGTTCTTGGTAAAAGAATAAACTGCTAAAGAGAAGTTAAGTATGTTAACAAGTAAATAAAATGGTGTACAGTAACAGGGCAGGCTCTGGCTCTTCACAACTTCTGATGGTTACTGTGTCATTTCTCCCACTACTCGTCCCTTTCTAAACAGAAATAAGAGCAGTCATTAAGGCCTGCCACCTTCCATAGTCCCCTCTCTGTTCTCTGTTACTTCATATTTTAGTGATGGCAGCAGATCTAACTCTTGGAGGCTGGAAAATAAATCCTGTGTTGTGTTCCACCACTGGGCGTTGGCTGTGGAAGGCTTCATTTCCTTCTCTCCGTGCTGCTTCTATTTGCGGGGAAATGGGCTTTGGAAGGAAGGATGTAGGTGCGAACGCATACAACTTCTAGAGGTCACTGCTTTTTGGCAACCATCAAGAGGTGTGAAGAGGGACAGCTGCAGAAGTAGGGTCCTATTTTCAAGGCCATGTCTCTTTCTGGCTCCCTGTTCTTACCTATGGAAGCTCTGCCTCCCGGGCTGACCTCCACCAGTGGAGCTGTGACTTGGAACGGTGGCAGCTGCCGGTCAGCGGGAAGTAAATGAATGGTGAGGGCCCTCTCTGGACTTGTGTGCTCTCCATCTGAAACTAGAAAGGGTAAACACACACACACACACACACACACACACACACACACATATGAATCACTTATGGACTGGTCGGCTTCAGGTTGTTTCCACAATTATTAGATTACCTTAACACTTAGAAGAGATATCTACAAATTAGAAAAAGTACGCAAGCAAGAAGGATGCTATGAGCTATTCTAACAAAGTTCTTTCTATGGATAAGAAAAAGGAGAAGGGCCACCACAATACCATTATTCTATGAGGCTGCTTTCACAATAAGGCGATCGTGACAAATGACAGTGGAAATGAAGGGGACAGGAAATCTGTGCCCTCAGATGAGGCTGGTCAAGATGGTACTTAGGGGAGTATTTTTTGACTCAATTCACTTCCTTAGTTTTCCAGAGAAATATTTCCTTTCATGAGCTCTCTTTTAGAAATGATACCTCTATGTTTCATTAGGAGTTTTTAGAAGGGCAATATCCATCCAAATGTCTCTAATGGCACTAGTTTGGATGTAAGCAGATCCATTTTTACCTGGTCATTATGCAAAATACCATAAATAGAAGGCAGCTTTGAGATCAAAACAGGGACCTAAAGATTTTATTTGCCTGCATTTTCTGACATCCGAGTGACCGCTGACCTCCTGAGGGAATGACGGCAGAGCTTCTGACCCCTGCTCTTATTGCCACACACCCCTTCCTTTCTCCAGAAGCCAAGTTGGAGGGATATCTGTGCCATCCTGTCATTGATGTGTTTATCTGTCCCATGTTTCCCTGAAAATAAGCCCTACCCAAAAATAAGCACATCCTCTGTATACAAGTGGAAGAAAGCTATTTTCTGGTACGCATTACATAAGAAGAAAATAGACCACTTGTGGGTAGGGTTTCACTAGCTAACATAAGAACTTGTGATCACAGTGTTAGCAATTACATGTCTAGCCCTCTTGGTAAGCAAGGTCTCAAATTTCTCTGAGAAACAAACTGCCTCTCTGGGTCCAACGCCTCTGGGCACCATTGGCCGCCTGTGTGCACCCCGCTCAGTGCTGCTCTGCAGAGCTGTGTTTGTCTAGAAGCCGGCCAGGTTGGGAACATCAGCTTTTCTCCTCATCTTAGGTGATTAACCAAAATGGGCTGTTCTCATTCTGTGGACTCCTGTCAGGGTGCTTGGACTTTTCCTGTCTTAGCTCATTATCTGCCCAATATAAAATTCGCTCCCACTGAACTCTCCTAAAGGAGACGGCTTCCCAACTACCAGACTGAAAAGGTCTTTCTTCTTCTTGGGTTCAAGTTATAGTTGCAAAAAATAGGAAACTTGGGCAGAAAGAAGATGATTTAAGGTCAGCCCAAGGTCTGTTCCGTCTCCTCTGTATAATAGGCTAAAGGCTCATTGAACTTAAAGTCCTGGAGAAGACGGTTGTTAACCCTTCCCCTACTCAGCTTTCAGGTCAGAGATGGGGCTTGGAAACCAAACTGGAGTATTACCAGGACACTTGTTTTTCACGATCAACACTCATGCACAGCAGACTAAACTATCCCATACTTGGATTCAGACACCTGTATTAAAAATCCTGGTTCTACTGTTCAGCAGCAGTGAAGCCTGAGCAGATCTTTACTCTTAATGACTCTCAGTGATCTCAGCTTTAAAATGCTGAAGATAATACCTATCCTTACAATAGGGTTATAAGAATTAAATAAGATAAATTTTATCACAAACCATTTTATGAAATGTAAAAACCTGTTCTATATTCTTACTGATTCTTTCTTTGCGTTACCGAGAGGCCTGCCACTAGAAACAAACAGATACAGGGTTCGTATCACCAGGGACACAACGTTGGAATTTACTGTTGCTCCAAATGTGATTTTTAATCTTCAAAGAAGAAAGGAAGGCCTGGGGGCTTGAAAGGGGTGCTTCTCTCCCACCAAGATTATTCCCTCTTGAAACATAACAGGACACATGGGTAGTTAATTGTAACGGAATAGTCAATCCCACCTAAACAGCTATTTAAGGATGCTTTTTATGGTCAGTCCCCCTCACTGGGGACCTGGACAAGAAACTTATCCCACCATGGCCCAGCATAAAAGCCAGCTCTGACCCTGCTTTTGCTGACTGTCACTCAGCTTCTATTCTATTATGTACTAAAAGAGAATGGTGAGATCTATATACACATTCTCAACTGATTTTCTAGGTCATAAGACTTTTCCCTCCATTAGCAAGCGATTCAATGAATGGCTCTATTTAAGGCTCCACACAACCACTATTCATTAGCTTGGTACAAATCACAGTTGATTATGTCCTAATCATTGTTCTGGAAGCTTCATATATATTATTATTATCCCCACTTATGGATGAGGCATTCAGGCATAAAGAGGTTAAGAAACTTCCCCAGCGTAAGCTGAACCCTAGGCCATCTGGATTCAGAGTCTAAGATCTTACCCTCTATTACCTCTTTAATACATAATAGGACAAGTTCAAACGGGGCTTAAAATTAATCCTTAGCCTCCTCGGCAGATTATTTTTTTCTGTGAACACAAAGTTAAGCTATAGTTACTTAACTCATCATCTAGTTGTTTTAGAAGAAACTTGTTTTAGAACAGTGGTTCTCAACCTTCCTAAGGCCGCAGCCCTTTAATACAGCTCCTGGGGGTCGCAACCCATAGGTTGAGAACCACTGTCTTAGAAGAAAAATTACCCAACTGTTAAGTAGTTCTCAGATAATAGCAAAAAGTAACAATAATGGGAGCAAAAACAAAGAACTAATAAGGAAGGAAAAAATTCCATTTGCTAATAAAATTCTGATTAGTCTTTACCTGTGAAGTGGAATTTTACTGATTCTGGGAGACCTGTAAGAGTGAGAGAGAAAAATCAGTGTACTCAACATTCTGCTGCCAGAGATGGATGGGCAAAATACAAGGCAAAGGTCAGGAGAGGAAAGGCCGCTTTAATCTCAATTATTCTCGTTTGAGAAAAGATCACCAGGTCATTTGCTAATGTTATATTGAATTTAATGGGAGCAGCATTAATTTTAAGCAGCCAAAAGAACCACATAGTGGAATAATTTTACATCACAGCAGTTAGAGTGATTTACAATACATTCATTCAGACCCCATTTTATCAGTACATAGAATCCTACACATCAGGGAATGTGGGTGATGTCGTATATCACTGACAAGGCGTTCAGGTGGGTCAATTCCACTGTGGAGTTGAGTGATGCTGGGACACTGATTCACACACTGTAACTGTGTAAGAGATTTATTCCAAGGATTATACAGGATAGGACTCCGCTCTCTCTAAAGTGGCTCTAGGAGCTCAGGTGAGTATCTTATGGAAATTACTGCAACCATGGCTGACATATTTTCTTTCCCTCTAATCCCAGGATATCCTGTGTTTCTTGCAAAGTAGGTCCTGTAATGTAGGGGTTAGAGAATCATGAACATTTTCACAGGCTATTAGCTACCCATTTACTAAACACTGGAGATACTCTGTAGAGAAGTAGCTTATCCCTGCCCTTTGAGAGTTTCAATCTAATTGAAGAGTTAACCACTTTCTGGATGATTATTTGTATAATAAATAATGACAAATATCACTTTAAATGTTTACCACAATAAAAATAGTAACTCTAAGATTATTTAATCCGTGTTCAACTTACCATAAGAAATCATCAGCTGTTCTATATGAATAAAGCCATTATTATAAAAATAATTCCCTACATTTATGGTGTGATGTGGTACCTATACCTTAAAATTCTTTTTTTTTTTTTACTTTTTATTTTATTTTATTTTATTTTTTATTTCTTATAGCATAACTGTGTACATTAATGCAATCATGGGGTACAGTGTGCTGTTTTCCTATACATTTTGAAATACTCTCATCAAACTGGTTAACATAACCTTCATGTCATTTTCTTAGTTATTGAGTTAAAACGTTCATACTCTGCTTTTAGAAAGATTCACTTGTACCCTTGTAACAGATTCTAAGATTTTTAGAATATTTCAAGGCATGCAAATATTTAGCAGTAAGGATTCAAAACCCCTGCTTCCTGGTCAACCCAGAAAGATCTCTTACTGGATCAGAAAAGATATAAGGGTAGCAAAGTCAAGGTCATTAGGGCTTAGTGGAAGGGCATAGACCAGCTGTAGTGAGAAACTCAGTTATCCATTCTTTCAGTCTTCTCTTCCTTTAAAAAGCTGTCTTGTATCAAATCTGATTTTTATTTATTTATTTAAAATTTTTTTTCCCCTCAGAAATGGGGTCTTGCTCTCCTGCCCAGGGCAAGTGGTAGGATCAGAGTTCACAGCAAACCTCAAACCCCTGGGCTAAGAGATCCTCCTGCCTCAGCCTCATGAGTGGCTTGGACTGCAGGCACAGATCACCACACCCAGCTAAGTTCTTAGTTTTTTGTAGAGATAGGTAGGATCTCACTATGTTGCCCAGGCTGATCTTGACCTCCTGGCCTCAAGGCCTCTCCCTGTGGCCTCCCAAAGTGCTGGGATTACAGATGTGAGCAACTGTGCCTGGCCTAATGCTGATTTTAATTCCCCAAAGGGTGCCTGAATCCTCCATTCCTACATGCACCTTCCCTGAGGTACTACAAGACCCTTCTCACTGACCTCCCTCGTCCACATGCTCGTCCACTCCGGCCTCCTCACCAGGCCTGTTCATATCACTGCAGTCAAAGAGCTCCTTATGAAAGCCACGCACACCAGGTCCCTCTTGTTCTCGGGCTAGAGACCTCAATCTTCACAGGCTTCCAGGGCAAGCAAGGCCTGGCTTCGGCCTGTGCCAATGGCCTCATGCTTGATCTGCTTAACCCTCCACATCAATGGCCAACTGAGGCCATGGTGTGCTCTCCCGGCCATCAGCCTAGGCTCTCTTGGCAACCTCCACTGAGCCCCAGGGCTAGCTCGGTCTGGTTATGTTTAACTCTACTACTGAACATTCTTGCTCCTTTTCACAGCTCTTGTCTCAGTCTGCAATTAAACATTCATTACTGGGATAATTTATCAAATCCCCAAACGCACGAGTAGGATCCATGCCTCCCTTTTTCACCATGACATCTCTAAGGCCTCCCTCAGTGATTGGCACATAAGAGGCACAAAATAGACATTTTTTGAAAGTATGCCTATGTGCATGATCAGATGGGACCGAGCCCAAGCTCCACCCTGGTCAACAGGTCTTGAGCTATTTTGAATAGCTATGATGCGGTGTCACCAAACTGCTGGGAAGGACTGCAGGAAGCGTTAGGGTGAGCCTGCCATGACAACCCACACACAGCAGCTGGGTGCCTTGAGGCAGACACGAGAAAGGACATTACCGGCGAAGGAGAAGGCCATGAGCTCCTGGAGGTGGGGGGCAGCCGGGGGAGGGCGGTACATGATTTTGCCCTGGTTAACATCCTCCTGTGTGAAATACCGGATGGGAGAGCGAGGCCGGTCCCTATGCTCGATGAAACCTGGGGGAAGAGACTCAGCGTGAACATCACAGCGATGATTCTCATGGCCGGCGGGGTGGCGGGGCCACAGAGCCTGCCCTTCTTGCTGGTGGAGTCTTTCGTCTGTCAGGAATAATAGTTCTCCGGTTGCTCCTGGATATTATTCCCTGATTACTCAAGAAAAGGGCAGATCTGAAACGCAGATAGCGGGGGTGACTAAGATTCATAGACAATAAAGCACAGTACGGTGTGACCTGCGGCCCCGGTCTCAGCCCAGACCAGCTAATTTTCTAAAAGTCATAGACCTGGTATTGTAATTATGAGGCTCTCTCAACTGAGTTTCACTCAAGGTCAAGGTCCCGAGAAACTGGTACAGAGTAGTCTCAGGGTGAGGCTGAGGAGATATTTTTCTCAATCTACCCTCTTTCCTTCAGAAACTCCTTAGTATCTGCAATGGTCTTTGGCAAGAGGAATGTTGGTCTTGGTTACTCTAAGAACTGGATTTGCCATTATCACTCTGCCTGGGGTAAATGCCTCAGGGGCTATAGATTTGCTTATTCTAAATCATTCGGTTTCAGAACTAATGCTGTGATTGCTTTTATATCCTATTCACTCTTTAAAAGGAGGGCCCACCTGAGGTGTGGTACTGAGCCACTTCACTGTCTGCAGAGCTAAGACACCGATAGCGACCCTGCAGAGGACAGCCCAGGCTTGGCTGTGACAGTGTCAACCCTGGCAATGTGGGGAGAACCCCTAGCTACCACTTAGCAGATTAAAAAGGGGGAAGGACGACTTTCAGCCTTTTAATTTCTTTGGACTTTTTAAAAAGGGTAATGGAATTTAATTTTTTTTTTAAGACAGCCTCACTCTGTTGCCCAGGCTAGAGTACTATGGCATCAGCCTAGCTCATAGCAACCTCAAATTCTTGGGCTCAAGTGATTCTCCTGCTTCAGCCTCCTGAGGAGCAGAGACTACAAACTCCTACCACAACACCTGGATGTTTTTTTCTATTTTTAGTAAAGACAAAGTCTCACTTTTCCTCAGGCTGGTCTCGAATTCCTGAGTCAAGGAATCCTCTCACCTGTGCCCCACAGAGTGCTGGGATTACAGATATGAGCCATAGCATCTGGCCAGATTTTAATTTTTAGACTTTTTTCCCTGGGAACTTGATCACATGAGAAGTTCCATCTGGGACAGTGGCTGTTCTTGGAGAACGGTCTCAGAGGCAGGAGCAGAATTATCTCACTAGAAGCAACCCTCCTTTCTGTGAGGAAGAGCCACACTTCCGTTGGGCATAGACTTATTAGTTAAGTACAAAGGTAAGAAAGAGATCCAGAGGCTGGGGGTGGATGGCTGGGGACCTCTCCTCTGCTGGCAGCTCCATGGTCCCATGTCTCTCTAGGGCAGGGGGAGTAATTTACTCGAACTGGAAAAGGAGCTGAGTACGTGTGGCTCAGCCCCCCTGTGCTGTCTGGCAGACCTCCTTATTCTTAGCCCATGCTTATTCTGGTCTATTTGCATACTGTAACCTCACCAGGACAGGCTCTGTCCTACAGACAATGCCTGTATCTGTCCAGTTCTGCCAGTGCGTGGAGGAAGGGCTAGGTCAGTAATAGCACATTCTCTAGTAAGCTCTATTGGTGCCGAAGCCAACAGGGTCATCCTCTACCTGACCACAGTCTGTCTCTCTCTATTAGTTCTAAACTAGAGGACAAGAGCCAGGGGCATGAATAACTGTTATTCCTTAAAACCTCAACAAATAGCAGTGTGTGTACAAGCAGACAAATTCCAGAGCTGTTAAGACTGGTTAATAGCTAAAGGACAGCAGCATCACTAAAAGGATCATTTCTCACATCTTACCTTGGCTCGGGTGCAGAGGGAGGGTGATGTTGTAAATAATCTTTCCACTGGGCCGCTCAGAGTTCACAAAGGATAGGGAAGGAGGCTGAATGACAGTCAGGCTGTCTTCTCGAGCCTAAGCAGAGTTCAGAAGGAAGAAGAAGAAAACGGTGTGACGAAAACAAAAGCCAGAGGCAAAGACAAATCCTAGGAGAATAAATAAAAAATTCACTCTGGGCTTTTAAATGAATCACACTCCATGTCTTAACCAACCCTATGCGAGCAAGGATGTGGTCTCTTGCACTGCAGATCTGTCCCAGCCTCAGGAACCTCACAGGGCTACAGAGTCCTTTTCAGCTTCCCTGTGCCCTGGCCTTGCTCTTCCCTAACTCCTGTGTCCAGAGTTATGTCAGTGCATGCTGTAGGGGAGGGGTAGAGGGCCCCTGATTTCCTTATGCAGAAAATGAGGCATCTCACCTGGCTACTCTCCTACCCTGCTGCTCCTAGCTGGCTCCTCTCACTCCATGGGCTCAGCTTGGCAAGAATTCTAACAGCCCAACAGAGAAATTCAAGTCTTGGCCCTAAGAGGTATTACCTCTGTCCCCACAGCTTTGTGAAGGGGGATGCTTTCTGATTTCTGGGCTAAAGATAAACCACCTCAAACATCAAAAGAGGCTCATCATTTGGACTGGGAAATCTAAGAGCAATTTGCTTACGAAAGCACACAAATAGCTAACACTTCCCTGTCCCCACTGTGCTGTTCAAAGGGACTGGATGTCACATTTCTCCCCCACCTTTCATGACCCATATTAATCAGAGGCTGATGTATACGAAGCTTTTCCTATCCACGCACCTGTGCCCATCCATGACCCACTAATAGAGGCAATGCTCAAAAAACAGAAACAGAGATTCAGCCTCCATACCTGACTAGGCACGAGAGTGGGTTGGGGACAGCGGCAAAAACACAGTGTACAGAGGAGAAAGGGGAAAACTAGTTTGAGCATGGGCCCCTTGCCTGGGTCACATGTGCTGTTCCAAGATAGAACAAGTGTCCAGCTCATTGCAGGCTCTCCCTAACTGACCCTGCAGGTGGGTAGAGTCTGCCACCTTCTCCTGCTCTTTGAAGCTTTGCCTCTTTCAGAAGGAATTTCCCCATTTAGGAAAGGATTAAGCAGGGCACAGTCAAGCTGGTGGAGGAGGGCGTGGTGTTCTTCCTTTTAACCAAAAAAAGATTGAAGGTTGCAGTTGCTTTCTAATTGCCCCAAGGCATACTTGTCCTGGGGAGAGGCAGAATCTGCAGGTTAGGACAATCTCCCAGCAGTGAAGAGTCATATTTCAGCCCCTTGCTCAAGTCTGGAATGTAATGAGCAAGGAAAATTAGAACTGCAAATAACAAGCAGCTGAGCTCTCTAAAATGCAACAAGTAAGGACAGCAAACTAAATATATATGCCCCATATGAGGTGTCAGTCACACATGTGCACACGCCTACACACATGTACAGAGACACAGAGGAAAGGGACAGGCATGGGGCCTTGTTCGGTTTGCCACATTTTAATCTCAAAACCACCATAATAATTGCAAATTCTCAGAGTATCATGGGATATTTTTAGAAATCTAGATGTGCTCAGAAGAATCAAGTGATTAAGAAGAGAGAAATTATCATGGACGTGGGACTATGGAAAGGGAACTATTGATATGCTCTAGCTAGGATAACAGATAGTCCATTTTGGAATTTATTGATACTATTTCTCTACTAATAGAAGTAGACACTAGGTAGAAAAAGAACTTAATTCTGTGAGGGAAGCAATATTGAGGCTGAGATATATCAAAGCATAATCAATTTTAATATTGGCTATTTTGAATGTTCAATATTTATCAGTTAAACATAGTAAGTAGTAAAAGATTAAACTTCATGGAAATCATTATGAAAGACACTTTTCAACCAATGCGAGGGCTGTTTGTAAAGTGTCCAGCCATGTACTATGACAGATAGCATCAACAGGGGTTGGACACATTCTGGGCAGCCCTCGTGTATCTGTCCCACACACCCTGAATCCAATTGCTGCTTTCACTGCAGTCACTCTGCTGGGAGCCAGGGTCTCCCCTGGTCACTTCCTGGCCTCCTAACTGCTCTCTTGCCTCTCCTTCACCCTACTTCAGCACAGCAGCCAGAGGGATCCCTTTCCAGGAGACCTTAGAGCCCTGCTCAAAGCAATGGCTTCCCACTTGACTCCAAATAAAAGCCAAGTCCCTCACCACCCCATGAGGCCCTATGAAGTCTGCTCCCTGCCACGCACGCTCCTCGGCTCCCTGAATTCACCCATCTGCTCCTGCACACCTGCTATGGGCACGTCCCCATTGAACTCATCATGCTCTCCGGACCTCAGAGAGTGGTGTGCGTGCGCACTCAGAAACTGGCATGGCGCCTCCTCCCCTACCTAACAGTCGCTGCATCTCTAAATCTCCCCCCTCCCTTCCTTCCTTTCTTTTTCTCTCTCTCTCTTTTCTTCCCTTCCCTACCCTTCTTCCTTCCTTCTCCCTTGTCTTCCCCTTCCCTCCTTCCCTTCTTTCCATCTTAACCATTTTTAAGTATTAACTATATGCACATTGCCATACAACAGAGTTCTAGAACTTTTCCATGCTGCAATGGTGAAGCTCTACACCCACTGAACAGCCCCCTTCTCTCCCTCTGCTCCCAGCCCCCAGCCCTGGCAACTACCAACTTCCTTTCTACTTTTCTTGACTACATTCTACTTTATATCTCATATAAGTAAAATCATGCATTATTTGGCTTTCTGTGACTGGCCTTTTCACTTAGTATAATGTCCTCAAGGTTCATTTATTCGTTCATATTGTACCAGGTGCCAACATTTGCTGGTTTTTAAAGGCTGAATGACATTACACTGTGTGTGTGTGTTTGTCCATTTATCTGTTGATGGACATGTAGATGGCCCACCTCTTGGCTGTTGTGAATAATGCTACAATGGACACAGTGTGCAAATGTCTCTTCATCCTTATCCCGGCTGCATGGTGCTCATGCCGTTGGTAGTTCTTGCTCCAGGCGACTGCAACAGCCTATTTATTTTCTGTCTTTTGCTCATCCAGGATATTCTCTACCCAGAATAGCAGAACCATCTTCCTAACCTAATCATTAAAAATCTGATTGTGGCTTTTCTTGCTACCAATCCTTCAACACCCTACTTGCCTCAACAGCCTTTTAAGACAAAATGGAAACTCCATCTTATCTTGAGGGTCCTCTGTGATCCAACTCTCATATCTTATTGCTTTTTCCCTTAGGGATTTATGCTCCAGCCAGCTGAACTACTTTTAATTCCTCAAATATGTCATTTGCTTCTCTGTGTCCATGTTTTTTCAAATTCTGCTTTTCTTACCTGGGATCAATTTGCCCAGATTTAGTCCAGATTAGTGGTTCTCCAAGGTCGTGATCTGAGAAGCAGCCAAGGTCATCACCTGGGAACTTGTCAGATATGTAAATTTTTGCCTGACACCAGACGTCCTGAATTAGAAAATCCTGGAGTAGGTTTCAGCACTCCATGTTTTAACCAACCCTATAAGGATTCTAATGCAGGCTTACATTTGAGAGCCCTGAACTCTGGTGACCCCCAGGTCACCTCCTGGGGGAAGCCTTCCCCAGCCCTTTCCCGTGCTCTGTTGGGTCAGGTGCCCCTTCGCTCCCCATCACTGCTCCGCTGTAGCACTTATCACCGGACCATCCTGCGTATCTATCTGCTTGGCTCCTCTTTTAGACTCAATGTTCCTTGAGAACACAGATTTTGTTTTATGGTCATTGACTCTCCAATGTCTTTCACAGCAGTCGGCTTAAATTAGAGGCTCCAAAGTGTTTACACAGGAGTGACTGACTGAACAGGGAGGCCGACTCCTACCTTTTATTGCATAAATGAATATACCACATAGGTATCACCATGTGTTCACAATACATTATATTTACCAAATGTGTGCAAAAATTGTGGGCTTAGATGAGTCTAAATTACTGAATTGAGAATGTGTTTTTGTCCAGATTATAAGTATATCCTATGGTAATGGCCCTAATTAATGTCAAAAAATATATAAACTGTGTATATTTTAAGAAATGTAAAAGTAGGCTAATCACATTTTACAGTCAACTAACCTTTAAGATATCCTGAATTTCAACTGGACAGACCTAATTTGAAAACATGCAATGTAAGCTCCTAATGGTTAAGTGACTTGAAAAGTCTCTTCAGAGGTCCACACGGCAAAGTGGGCACAACACTGTCTTCATGGCTCCTGGCCCATTTTCCCTCTAAACTCAAAATAACCCTCCATTAGCATTTGGCAAGAACGTGTGTGCACATTTTTCTTTACAGTTTAGAGAAAATTCTGATCCAAGTTCCTCCCGTCAGAGTGATGAATTATACACTTTACGGTGCTGCTGAATTATGATTTCTCTAAATTACGGTTTACAGTAGAAATGCCGATACCAGCTATTCATTAAAAACTTTCTATTTTCCCCTTTATGTCTCTGTCATGCCCCAGCCCCATAATTTCTAAAACTATAGCTGCTTTCTTTGTGTGGCTCCAGGCTGATGCACTACTTTGGAGCATAATTACGTGGGCGCTAACTAAAATGTGGACCCACAGTGGGTAATTTATAAGGTCTTGCATGCTGTGGCTCTGTGTGCACGAGGGGTCCTGGCCTTAGATCTCCCCCAGAGAGAGGGCTCCAGTAGAGCTGCTGATTGTCTGAACTAAGCTTCACGTACTAATTTAGTTGACATCTTACTCCAGATCTTCCTGAGCCCCACACTCCTGCCCCCCAGCCCACAGGCCTTCCGTGATCTAGCACCACGACCTACATCCTCATCCTCGCTGAGCCTGTGCTGCCTTCTTTGTTTCCTCAGTTTTACCAGAGTATCTGCAACTTCCCAGTAGTCATGATCTGTCTCACGGTCAGTCTTCCCATGTGCTCTTTTTACTCAGAGCAGTGCCTTCTGCCATCACGTCCCCATCCTTCCCAACTCACTCCCAAGCTTCCTCTAGGATAATTGCTACTTATCTTCTGGATTCAGCTCTCAGGCACCTTCTCTGGGAAGCTTTTGCAACAGGAAGCTGCTAATCAGGTGTCTAAAAAGTGGAGTAACAGTTTCTCCAGCAAGGTGGTGCCATAGCTGGCTGAAAATTATACCTAGATGGTGTCCATTCCATGGACATAAGCCTGAAATGTCTTTTCAGTACTCACACAGAGGCCCTGAGACTGTCTGGGATAACACAGGAAGGGCATCAGCAATGAATAGGAAGTTAAGACAGATTCCACATAACCTTACTTTCCCTCTGGAAATTTTCTTTTTCAAGTGAGAAATGTGTTCACAGGACTGGGGCTTGTTGGCTCCAGAGGGTATGTTGTTCTGACCAGGCGTCTACTCCCTATAAACCCCCTTTTGGACACTTCACCAAATCCCATCAGTGTGCCGTGTGCCTCCTCACACAGCAGCCACGTGCCCTTCCACTCAACTCACAGTCATGTGGAGAGAGGCTTCCAGAGAGAGTTTCTGTGCTTCAGGCGTCTGCGGTAGGATGGCGATGTTGAATACACGGCTCTCCAGGCGGGTCTGAACATCTGCGGCACTGGACACCTGGAAAGCAAAGCCAGCCTGGTCAGTCTCTCACCTTCTGGTGGGCAGAGCACACTGGCGCGTGTTTTTACTTTTTCCCCTTTAAACCATTTTTGAATTCTATATGCTCCTGCATTACAACTGTCATTCTGCTCTTCAGATTTGAGGAATAATCTATTAATGATTATAAAAAAAGATACATAATCACTTTAGGCAATGCTGAAAACACAGGAAAGTATAATATTAGAAATAAAAAATATTCTAGAATTTCACTGCTTAGAAACAACGATGATTAATATATTGATGAATTTCAGTTTAATCTTTTTTCTATGCAGATGTATCAAATTTTATGTATAATTATGTATTCTAAATTTTTTACTTAATAATACTATGAAATTTTTTTATTAGTCTTGAAAATATAATTTTTGATGGCTATATATTATCTTATTGTGAGTGTGTAACATAATTTTTATTCCATTTCTTTCATTTTTATTCAGCTCTGGTAAATGACTTAGCCTCATGATTTCATGGCAAGATTAATAACATTTATAATTTGGGTAGTGGTCATAAAAATCAACTTTTTCCTGCCTTAAAAATACTGAAAAATGATGCTTTTCTCATGCAGTCTCTGTCTTTCCATCAGAGGTGCTGAGTTTCCCATAAACCCTCCTCTCTCTGTTGTTTACTCCCCCTTAGTCGTGTCTCAAGAATTGCTAACCCCCGTATGGCCATGTGTAGTTGCATTAATTCCTTGCAATAAGGGTAAGATTCTATAAATCCTGAGAAAGGTGGCAAATGTATACCCAGAAAAACTGTCTTTTTTGGCCTTATCTTCATCATATCAGGTGCCTGAGATCAAGTCTCAGAATCCTGTTTTCAAAGAGACAACGATTGATACAAATAATCTTTACCAGTAACTTATTCTACTGATCACACCTATCATGGGCTCAGCACTGTACTTGCTAATTTTCAAAGGTAATCTTAATACCCACAAAATAGATAGTATCCCCTTTTTTACAGATGAGGAAACTGAAGGTCAAAAGGTTTATGCAGCATGTCAAAGTCACAAACCAGTAAGTGGCAGCACTTAGCCAGGTCAATCTGCTTCATGATCTTGCCCCTGACCAACAGGACTCAAGTTGGCAGCATTATGAAATTAGGCAGGAGGAATCTACAAAGTGTCCGTATTCTCCTGTTTCATGAAGAAGGAACAGAATGCCAGGCAGGTGGTGAAATGTGGTCATACTGCTTGCAAGTGAATCAGTCTGTGGAAACCACAATCCCTGAGATGGTGTCAATATGATCTGAATATATCAAAACCAGGCTTCCTTCCCACACCAGACATGACTGCCAGTGTGCAGGATTTCTTCTCACTGTGCCACGCTCTATTTCTTAATCCCACTTGCATTACCTCGAACCCCAATCTTACATACAAAGTAACAGATGGGACAAATTGATGGCTCGTGACAGCACATCGACATTAAAACGGAATTAAATCCATGCAACTCATTATATTGCACTTTCTGCTTTAAAGGGAAAAAAGAAGGGAAGAAAGAAAAGAATCATTGAACAGCATCTTTTTTTTTAGTTTAAAATTCTTTAGGGACACTAAAATGATGAATTGGAACAGTTGCTAACAGTTTATTTTAATACATAGCTATAGTGCCTGTGTCACTTCAAATCAATGTAGGAAGTAAGCCCATGAAACAGTGAGACTTTAAGAACAAATACACCGAAACTTTTATGTCAGGAGAACATAATCCCAGAGAGATGTTTCATATTTGCAATAAAGATGCTGTCAATATTCAAAATGCATTTTTTGGAATGCTTTCAGATGGAGTTCACAAATTATATAAGAAGGGTGGGCTCCTTACTTCATAATTATTCTCCATTTTAACAAAAAATAATTATCACTCTTTTTCTTACCAGACCTGATTCTGAGTAACTTTTGACTATTTGGTTATATTTTTTAATCTGCTTCCAAAGGATAAGAATCCTCTCACTACGGAGGATATTCTAAAAGACGATTCGACACACTTTGAAGGCAAATTTAAGCAGGAGTTCTAAACACATTTTGAGAAAAGTGTGTGAAGGCTCTCTGAAGAGAACCACTTTCTAAGTAATAACATTCAACTGGATATATGTGTGTGTGTGTGTTTATGTATTTATTTTTTGAGACAGTCTCACTCTGTTGCCCAGGCTAGAGTGTCATGGCATCAGCCTAGCTCACAGCAACCTCAATCTCCTAGGCTCAAGCAATCCGTCTGCCTCAGACTCCCAAATAGCTGGGACTACAGGTACCCACTACAACGCTCCATTAATTTTTCTATTTTTAGTAGAGATAGGGTCTTGCTCTTGCTGAGGCTGATCTCAAACTTCAGAGCTCAAGGGATCCTCCTGCCTCAGTCTCTAGCAGTGCTAGGATTATAGGTGTGAATTGTGCCCAGCCTTCAACTGGATACATTAAACTCTAGTGAGCTTCTTTTTTTAAGTTGGTAACTTTTACTATTTTCTTTTTTATTATTTTATTTTGTTTACTTTTAGTACTTAGTGACCAAGTTGCAAAAGCCTCAAATGTCATTTTGAGCGGGTCTTAGAATGCCCCTATAGGGCAATGTTCTATATTGATAACATTCCTCATCCTGACCTCTAAGGAGATAGAATCTCTGAGGTGAATTCTCCTGATGAGGTCTTTGCCTCCATTCTGACTCACTCTTTGGTGACCACTGCAGGCCCCAGGTGCTAAAAATGAAAAGTTAACTTGGGCAAAGGGCACTCAGTGTCTGCTCACTCGCTGGACGTTCAATGCATTCAGTAGAACCTCATTTTAATGGTTTCCAAATTTATCTCAACTTGCTCTCTGGAAAAGCACATCTTTTACACAATATAAATTAGTCAGGCAATGAAGATGTACATGCAGGCATCAGAAGCAGAATGCATGATAATTTTAGCAAGGTCAGTGTTCAGGGTTAGTTTATCCCAACTGGATTCCTAGACAAAGGGAAAGCCCTAGACTCTGAGGAGCTCTGACACGGCTTTGGCTGATTACCATAAACATATATATTTTCTCTGGCACGTTACCATATTTTTCTCTGTATCCATGCTCAAACATTCTTTCTCATCCATAATTCCTTATTTCTTTGTATTTCTGTTTAATTCTTTATGTCCAAACTGTGCTTGCCAGATGTTTTTCTAATTTTATTGATTGTTTTCAAAGAATCCAGTTTTGTATTCATGTATCATTTCTAGTATTTTACAATTAGCCAATTCTTCTGCCCACCTCTATTAATTTCTTCCTTTTCCTTTCCTTAGGTTTCCCTTGTGGTTCTCTAGCTTCTTGAGTTCAATATTTAGGCCATTTACTTTTATGCTTTCTTGCTCAATAATAAGAGCTTAAGGCCATCAATTTTCTTCTGAATACAATTTTGTTCACATGATTTAAGTTTTGATAAGTGATTTCTTCCTCACCAATATTTCTTAACAGTTTGCTGCTTTGATTTCCTTTAAAGAATTTCCTACTAATTACTCAGGAACCATTTTAAATATTTAAAAGCGTTTGAATTTTGTTTACCTTTTTAATATCAATTTCTAATTATATTCATAATCACCAAAGAATGTACCCAGTATAAATTTTTGTTCTTTAATTTATTCAGGGTCTCTTTACAGTTATGGTATTTTTTTTTTTTTTTTTTTTTGAGAAAGAGCCTCAAGCTGTCCCCCTGGGTAGAGTGCCATGGCATCACGCTCACAGCAACCTCCAACTCCTGGGCTCAAGCGAGTCTCCTGTCTCTGCCTCCCAAGTAGCTGGGACCACAGGCGCCCGCCACAACGCCCGGCTATTTTTTTTGGTTGCAGCCATCATTGTTGTTTGGCGGGTCCGGGCTGGGGATTCGAACCCGCCACCTTAGGTGTACGTGGCTGGCGCCTTAGCCGGTTGAGCTATAGGCGCCGAGCCTACAGTTATGGTATTTGACCAATTTTTATGAATGGTAACAATAAATCCTTATGTAGTGTTTACCATGTAATAGGCAGTATTATAGATGCTATATTACATATACACACTCTCATGTACACACACTCGAATGTTCACAATAATTCTATAAGTTTCATAGCAAGTAAGTGGCAGAACTTACACCTGGACCCTCAGAGTTTGGCTATAAGTTCATGGTTTTATAAGATGGTAACTGTCCCAGGAAAATTCACAAATATGATTGTGTGATTTTTTTCCTCCCTATGGTATTTTTACATTTTGAAGAAATTCCATATACTCTGGTCATTATGTAGAAATCCCTTTGCTATAGACAACTCTGCTTGTGAAGATATCCATATAACTGAACTAACAGATTAACTAACAGCATTTTTTAGGAAATTCTCCCAAACTTGTTCTTAGAAACTGCAGAAAATTACTCATGTTGTTTATATATAAGTGATGGTTTTCATCAGACTTCAGGAACGTCAGGAGGCAGGGGGTACCTGGAAGCGGAAGGCGTCGCTCTGGGCTGGAGCTCCCGAGTGTCTGTACCAGACGATGCCTTCGTTGATGTCCTGCTGGGTGAAGGTGCTGATGGGAGTTGCTGTCCTTCCATCAGGCAGGTGCTGCCCTTCATCTGCGGGGCTGTCTGCAGGCATGTTCATCAGAAGGACCAGCTCCCCTAGGAAGGCACAGGCCACAGTTAGTGAGTGCCCCTGGGAAAAGCAAGTTAGAGTTCCTAGCCTTTCCCAACGCTGCTGCTTCTCTTTTTTGAGACAGAGTCTTGCTCTGTCCCAGCAGTGGCGTCATCATAGCTCACTGTAAACTTCTTGCTCAGGCTGGTCCCAAACTGCTAACCCCAAGCAATCCTCCCACCTCAGCCTCCTGGAGTGCTAAGTTAAAGGCATGAACTACTGCACCTGGCCCTAGCACTTTTTTTTTTAATGAAAAGAAATGATGCACTTTTAAAAATCCTTATCTAAGATGAAAAAAGTTAACACAAAATTCAATAGATATCACTGACTCCATATTTAGACACAGAATTTTCAGTCTTTCAGCTAAAAGAACTAAAAGTCATTCAGTGGTGGGCGGCACCTGTGGCTCAGTGGGTAGGGAGCTGGCCCCATATACCGAGGGTTTCCGGTTTGAACCCGGGCCCCGGCGAAACTGCAACATAAATAAATAAATAAATAAATAACTGTCATTCAAGGGTAATTCATGTGTGAAATTACTGACTTGTATCTATAACAATTATATAAGGAGACCCCAATAGTTGTGAATACTGTAATCAAATACTTGAATACTGGGCATTTAGTGAATTAATCTACCCATAACTTTTTACATTACAGAAAATATTTTCCAACCAGAAAGTTTTTCTGGTTTCAATAAGAACCATTGAACTTTCAAATCCAGTACAATGACCAATTAGAAAAAAATTCAGGAGATGTTATTCTTGGGAATAGTCTGTCCAATGACAATAATACAGGTTGAGTATCCCTTTTCTGAAATGCTTGGGACCAGAAGTGTTTCAAATATCAAATTTTTTCAGATTTCAAAATATTTGCATATACATAATGAGGTATCTTGGGGAGGGGACCCAAGTCTAAACACAAAATTCATTTGTGTTTCATATACACAAATTAGCCAGAAGGTAATTTTATTA